GGGCTCCTTTGACAGAAAAGCCAATATGATTTTTCGTCGTAGAACAAAAAAAAAATACTTCAGCTTTTGTTAATAATAATAATAATACATTTGACTTCATAGCACCCAAGGACACCTTACAGGGCATAGGGTAATATAGGGAAAATTAAAACAGTGGATTTAATCAAATGTCAGCCGGGGTAAAACAAGACCAACAGGAAATGGACTACAGAAGGACACAAAAGGACACAGGGTACAGTTTATAATGAGAATGCCAGTTTGAACAGGTGGGTTTTGAGTTGGGTTTTGAATGTTGTTATGGCATCAGACTGGCAGGGAGTTCCAGAGTCTGGGAGCCGAGCAGCTGAAAGCTCAAGCACCCATGGTTTTGAGGCGAGAGCTTGGGACGGTGAGAAGTCCTACGGACGAAGAGCGGAGGGTGCGGGAGGGGGTCATACTTCTGAAGGAGGTCGGTGATGTACTGTAGATGGGGGCAAGGTTGTGGAGAGCTTTATATGTAAGTAGAAGGTTTTTGTATTCAGTACGGTAGCGTACAGGAAGCTAATGTAGTTGAGTGAGAATAGGGGTGATGTGGTCGGATGAGTTGGTGCGGGTGATGATCCGGGCATTATGTTCATGAATTAAACTTGTTGGCTGAAATATGAACCACCTCTGTGAATCTGTAATGCAGATAAGCATTATAGTTGCTCTCAAAGGTTTGGCGTTAACTGTAAGACTTTATAAATATATATAATCTTCGGAATGCGTTGCAGGCATCACATTCAAAATGAGTGAATATTTGCATTTACATTTATCAGTTTGAACATTACATAACTTGACTTTGTTGTGCATTCAATTGAATATAGGTTGAAAAGGATTTGCAAGTCATTGTATTCAGTTTTTAGTTATGTTTTACACAACATCACAACTTCTTTGGAATTGGTGTTTGTATTATATATAATATATATTATTAAACGTTATTCTTTTCAAGATTTCACGTGCCACATAAAATGTGGTGCCAGGCCGCATTCGTCTCACAGGCCTTGAGTTCCACACATCTGCTCTGAGCTGATGAGAGGGATGTCTGCAGGCCATGCTGACACACAGAGAGAACAGGGCCACACAGATATAAAGACGGCAGCTGACCTTCAGCAGGCTGTCTGAAGTGCCTCGGGTTGTCCTTGGCGATGCGTCGGATGGTTTCGAGGACTTGGGCCTCCCTCAGCAGTCTGTCCAAGGCGTACATCTCTCCACAGCGCAGGGGACCAAACATACCCAGACACTGCAGACATAACGTCACATATAACATGAGAAGATGAATATCATATAGTTTTAATGTAGGTGTTATAGAGTAGGTTTCCCGGGGAATGTAAAAATCTAATAGTGTAATAGGTTACAAAGACACTTTACTTCCTTTTGAAAAAGTTATGCCATACACTATTGATTATTCAAATGATCATGCTACATAACCAGAGGTACTATGTATCTATAATTTGTATTCTTATAAAACTTGTGTGAACTTTTATCTGAACTGTCCTGTATTACAATTTATTTCCATAGCAGGTATCTCTGCTAAGCTGGAACCTTGACGGACTAAATTAAAGGAAAATATGTCACACCAGCATGTGAGGCAGCCAGAGACCTCCCTCTGGCTGAGACATGAAAAACGGCAGTGTAGCAGCTCTCTTACCAGCAGCTGGGTGCTGCACTTGTTGAGGTGGACCACCAGGGCGCAGTCTAACGTGGTGCAGCCTGTGGTGAGGGGGGAGGGGGGGCTGTCCCAGCCTCTGTCCTGCAGAGACCTGAACACACAGGAGGAATTTTTAATAAGATCCACGGTGTTGAGGGAGGCTTCCATCAACTCTGCTGGGGTCAGGGGGCCTCTGAAGGCTCAATGAGATGACAAGCAGTGTGTGACTGCTTGTCATCAAGCCAAGAAAATACATCATCATAGTCATATATTTAGTTGGTTTTGTTCTTTTGAGGAAGGCTTTTCCAGCTCTGCGCTATAGTGATGGTACCACACAGCTCCACTAGATGGCAGCAAGACACTTCATGTACAATGAGATTATTCTGTACCAGGAGAGATATTTACTGTCCCCTACCCACATCCACTCCATTACAGTGAACTTCGTCTGTAGTCACACTCACAGCTGAACGAGGCTCCATTCTTTCAGACGGAGGGTATAAATACAGCAGCAAGCTTTGGGACGAACTTCCCTCTCTCCAGCCGAAACAGGAAATGCCGTAATTTTTCGTAACAACGGTTCCAAATCAGCATGTCTTGTATCAATAAATTATAACTACAATACAATTATCAAAATCTTTAATGCTGTCTCTTGTTTTGTTTTAAAGTCTGATGTTTATGTTTGATGACGGACACACACAGCGTTGGTCAGCTTTAGTAGCAGGTGAAGGACCAATGCAGGCTCTCTGTTGGAGGGCTTGATAACCCACTCTCCCTCCACACTTGTTGGTCTGGAACGGCACTCAATGGAGTGGAAGTGTGTAGGGGTGGGGTGTAGGGGGCGATTTAGAACTGGGCCTGGATGTGGATTTACTATTAACAAACACACATAGACAAAAACAGTTTGTGAGCTCTGACCTGCCACTTCTGCTCCTCTTCTCTCCTCTCTCCTCCACCCCCTCATCCTCCTCCTCACAGTCAGACGTGTTGAGGAAGTCAAAGCTGCACAGAGCTGTTTCCACGGTGAGGCTGACCACGCTGGGGGAGCGGCTGTGCCTCCCGCCCTACACACACACACACACACACACACACACACACACACACACACACACACACACACACGATTTAATTTAGCCTCAGAACAGCGAGAAACCTGAAATAACTTTTGCTTCAAATAAGCAAAACCATTTTATGTACTGAGTTTTAATGGCCGATGTGCAGTTGAAACAGTTCAGTCTTAAGATGTGAAGACTTTCTGCTGTTCTAGAAAATGTCTTTAGATGCCCACAATAGTTAAAGCTGAGTATGCACACACTCACACCCTAGGAAAATGTGGATCCAGCTTAAATTGCATTAACGACATTTGCCAAGTTAATATGAGCCACATCTTACAGTGAAAATATAAAACTGTCATATCTCTTGTCTGACTTGGTTGGATAAATTGTGTTAAGGCAGGTCAGTGGCTCAGTTCCTAGCCAAGCAGTCGACATGTGTCCTTGGGCAAGATACTTTACCGTAAATTGATAAAAGCATCAGTGAAAGTCACTTTACACATAGGTGGTGAATTATTCTAGGAGACTTTAACATCAACTGGAATGACAAACAAAATAGAAAGAGCTTAAAACGGATCACGGATAATCACAAGTTAATACAACTAATGGATCAACCGACTAGAATAACCAAAACCTCCAAGACTATGATAGATTTATTATTTACAAACAAAGTTGACAGAATAGTTAAAACCTACAACTTCCTGACCGGTCTTTCTGACCATGATCTTATTCTTTTTACCAGGAAACTCACAAAAAAATTTTCATGGCCACACCTAAAACCCCTGCCTTCGGTTCTCGCTTCATCCCCAAAAATCTGCAACAGCGTTTTATGGAGGCAGTGAAAATGATTGATTGGGGAGACACTCACTCCTCTGAAGACATTGGTGGAAACAGTAATCTGTTTATATCTAAAATGAATGATACAATGTCTTCCTTCTCAAGAAGAGGGTCAGTTAGGGACAGGAAGGAAAATCATCTTCCCTGGCTGAATCAACAATGCAGGAATCTAATGAAATCTAGAGACCAACTATTAAAGCAGAGCTTAAAATCCGGACTATCCACTGATAAACAGAAATGCACTCAGGCTCGTAACAAGGTAACACAAACAATAAAACAGGCCAAAGCAAACTTTTTCATCGATATAATTGAAGGTGCGAAAGGTAACGGTAAAAAAGTTTGGCAAATCTTAAATAAAGGTAAACATACCAAACAGGAAAATAATGCTCTAGAATTAAAAATCAATGATGCCCTGATAAAAGACCCTGCAGTGTTGGCCAGCTCTCTCAATGAGTATTTCTTAAATAATGCTTGGGACATTACAAAGCTCTTCTCACCATCTGGGGTTTCACCCAGCCCGACTGTGGATACACACCCCGTTTTTGACCTGGAGGAAATCACAGAGGTGGAGGTAAAAAATATAATCTTAGGGTTAAGAG